ACGTTAAGTAGTAGGTAAGGGAAGGAAGGAAGTAGTAGGTTAGGTAGGTAGGTAAGGTACGTACGTACGTAGTAGTAGTAGTAGTAGTAGTAGTAGTAGTAGTAGAGAGAGAGAGAGAGAGAGAGAGAGAGAGGAGGGGCGGAAGGGGGTATAGAGAGAGAGAGGGATATGGAGATTGGTGAAGAGGGGGCTAGAGTGAGAGTGAGTTACTTGGGGTGTGAGGGGGAATTTTTTTTAAAAAAAACCTCATAAATTTTGGAGAAAGAGAAAATTTCTGCTTTCTATTTTGGTACATATGTGATAATTTGAATGACCATATATCCTCTTTTTAACGTAATGCAAAGAGATTTACCGAATTAAGGTAGAAAGATACGGGAGAGAAAAAACAATTAGCAACGAATCTCTCGCTCAAAATATTATAATGCAATTTAAGATTTTGTTTAATATTAAGATCGGAGAAAATAGTTATGCTCAGTGGATAGTATTAGATATATCAATAGTCCCTTTATTAGGAATCATCTTGTTCTGTCTTAACTATTATAGAATTTTACAATCAATAATCAAGTACAACGGTTTGTTGTTCACATACTTATTATAAATTAAATATTTACAATCAGAAGTTTAGATAACAATAAAAATAATCAAAAAGTGACAGTGCTGTAGATCCTGGCGCAATTTGGTATCAGAGCCATAACAGTGAAACACTGTCAACAAATCACAACAGTAGAACTGTTCAACAGTGGAACTGTGTAAACAGTTACAACTGGAGAATTTGTAAAACTGTTCTTCTAACTCAATAAGTTACAGATAAAGTTACATTTTACCATAAGATACTAAGTGAGATTGACCACCAAGAAAGTTGGTCCGAGAGTTAAGACAAGAGACAAGTGAAAGCCGATGCGAAAAGTACCGCCAAGGCCAGGAGAGCCGCTTAGGGAAAAAAGCTAAGGCCGCTGAATGTCCAGATTGTCATTATCCGCAACCTACGGATGGCTAATCTCATAAAGAATCTTACAGGAAAAACTGTAGCTTCATCTTCAAAACTTAGAGTAAAGAATAAAGAACAAATTATTATAAATGATATTGAGGAAAATATTCAAAACTGGAACATTCCTAAGGTCCCAATTCATGATGTTTATAATAAATGATCATTTAAACTCAAGATGGGTTATGCCATCAAAACGGTAGAAGAAAGTCTATCAGTCACTCAAAACCAAGAAGACTTTCACCTACTCTCAAAAAAAGTAATTGAAAAACATAAAGAAAATAATTATAAATATTTACATATTGGCCTTATTCAAATAGCCGTAAAACCTTTGACCCGTTTAGGGTTGAACACTTCTGTGCTTGTATGCCTAAGAGATACAAGACACAATATATTCACAGACTCTCTACTCGGCATGGTCGAATCCAGCCTTTGTAGTGGTCTAATCTATTTTAATTGTTTTCCTAATTTTTCTGTTTCTTTGACCGATCCAAATATTTTAGATATTTTAACAATAAACCTAAAAACACATGGATTCAACATGATCCATGGTTCACAAAATTTGGCTATAGTATACAGAATATACTATAAAGTCATGAATATGTTAAGTCCAAATACTTTAAAACTTGATCAAAAAGATCAAACAATATTGTTTCAAACAAACATAGAAAAATCCAATATGATTGTCCCAAAAACCGTAAAATGGTCAGATATAGTATTACCCCAATCATGGGCATTGCAAAATGCCAACCAACCACAAGAAATTCCTCAAAATCATATTCCCAATCAAATAATAGAACATACCGATGGAAATATTGAAATTAAATTTCAACAACCACAAGTACAGGATGTTATTAATCTTGGAAGAAAAAGAAATATTAAAAATAAAATACCAAGTAGGAAATCCTATTCTCACAATCCTAATGTAATTATATTACCGCCTCCTAATCAACCTTCTTCATCCAATTCAGATATTCAATTTCAGGGAACACAAAGAACCACGGATAATATTGTGATTCCTACATACACCTTTAAATCT